ATCAACTAAATAATTTCTAGAGACTTTTTCCCAGCTCTTATTGAGTTCTATGATTTTACAGTTTAGTACTATCACAGTTGCAGTATGGTGGTGGTCTAATTCCCTAATGGAAAGTAAGCGGTAAGAATAAATGCCCGGCATAGAATAGATGCCCTGTGACTATTTCCTGAGTGAATGAAATGATAGAACCGTGCTCTTATGAAAAGAATACCAAATGAGGGGTCAGCAGGTCTGTGTCCTGGTTTCTGTGCTGCCGTATACTTTCTGAGTGATATTGAGCATGTTTGTCTGCCCCTTGGAGCCTGGTTCCTTAACTGTAAACATGGTAACAACACTTAGAGAACATAGCTAGAAAAGGTAAAGGAGTGTTAAAGGAGTTCTTGAATGGGCAAAGCTGTCAGAGAATAGGCATTTAATAATAGTTTCTTCCATTTTCCCATTTCAACTGTAAATGAATTTTAGAAATTTTTTTCCAGCTTAAAATTACTATGAAACAAAGTCTATTTTCTTCTGAGTTGAATTTTCTCCTTTTCTCTACCTTGACTTCTTTGCTCTACTATCTCTAAATTTCAATGTAAAGAAAACAAAAATCCTCACAACTGGTCCAATAAACAATGTGATAAATAGGGATTGAAGTCATCAAAGACTTCATTTTACTTGGATCAACAATCAACACTCATGGAAGCAGCAGTTAAGAAATCAAATGGCATACTGCATTAGGCAGATCTGCTGCTCAAGACCTCTTAAAAGTGTTAAAGAGAAAGCCTATCAGTTTGGGGACTAAGGTGCCCAAGCCATTGCATTTTCAATCTCCTCATGTGCCTGTGAAAGTTGAACAGTGAATAAGGAAAACAATAGATAGAAGCCAACATTGTTGCACCCAGATCAGCTGAAGATAAGAGTGAACTTTCAGTGGAAATTTTAAACAAGGTCCTGAACATTTCATGGAGGAATTGTAACAGGAGATGAAACAGTATGAAACACTGCTAGCAAGAGGCGGAAGTGGTCCAACAAAGAAAAGTGGACCAGCCAAGAGCAGTCGTCATGGTTACAGTTTGGAGGATGCTCAAGGCATTTTGTTGACTTCCTGGAGGGCCTAAGAACAATGATATCTGTTGATTCTGAGAGTGTTTTGAGAAAGTTAGCCAAAACTTTAGCAGAAGGACTTTAGCCTGTGAAAGCCCCTCTCCACCACAATGCTCCCTGATTACTCCTATCATTAAACAAGGGCAATTTTGCAAGCAGTTCTATGAGAAATCATTAGGCATCTTTCTTACAGTTCTGATTTGGCTCCTTCTGACTTCTTTTTGTTTTCTAATCTTAAAAAATCTTTAAAGGGCACCCATTTTATTTCAATTAGTAATGTAAAAAAAATTACCAGGACCTTCAGTTCTTTAGAAATCGACTAAGTAGCTAGTATCATCATTTATAAGTGTCTTAAACTTGATGGGGCTTGTGTTGATAAAGTTTATATTTTAATTTTTATCCTTTAATTCCAATTTTCCACAGGCTTTTTGAATTCCCGTCATATTTTGACTCCTAGTGACCCTATATGGAGTCCTGGTGTGGCGCTGAGGGTTAATGTGCTGAATTGCATTGTCGATTTGGATCGCGAAGTTGGCGGTTTAAGCTCTCCAGCTGGTCCTCGGAAATCTTATACGTGGTTGCTGTGAGTTGGAATTGACTTGACAGCACTTCACAACAACAACAATAACAGTAGTGCGTCTATAGGACAGTAGAACTGTCCGATAGGGTTTCCAAGGCTGAGGTCTTTACAGGAGCTAGCGCCACTGTGCTACCAGACTCCTTTAAGCAAAGACATTTCCCCTAATGAAGGGCAAGTTGTTGTTGTTGTTAAATGCCGTCGAGTCGGTTCCGACCCATAGCGACCCTGTACAGGGTTTCCGAGTGTGTAAATCTTTACGGGAGTAGGAAGCCTCATCTTTCTCGCGCGGAGCAGCTGGTAGTTTCAAACCGCTGACCTTAAGGTTCGCAGCCCAATTCGTAACCGCTACACTACCAGAGGGCAAGAGACTATAAAAATCATTGCAAAGAAAGAAATGGGGCTATTCCTTCTACTCGGATTGCTGAACACAATTGCTTACAACTGGTTTATTTAATGTTATGTGACGCTGTAGGATAAGCACTGGACCGCAAGATCACTTTGAACCACAAGGTTGGCGGTTCAATCACACCAGCCCACTCCTTGGAAACCCTATACAGGGTAAACAATTTGATGGCAATTAACAACAACAACAATTGCTGCTACTAAACAGAAACCTCAGTCTTTTGTTTTGTGTTTTACTTTTTATTTCAGTTCAGATGAATATTTGTAGAGCAAAGTAGTTTGTCACTCAACAAGTTAGACACATTTTGTTTCCTGACCTTGGTTGTAATCCCTTCAATATCACAGCAGTCGTCTACCTTCTTTCCTGGTTCTTCCTTTCCATTACCCGTCTCCCCTTCTGAACTTTATTTTTGGGCAAACGCTGCCCTTTGAGTCTCATATGGTTGGTTGTGCAGAGTAATACATTTCTTCCCTGGTGTTACTATTCCCTTTGAAAGATCTGTTGATTGCTTGGTTGAAAGTTGAGCCCAAGAAATGGGTCCAATTCCAGGCTTGAAGGGTGACTAATGACCATACTCTTAGGGGTTCTACCAGTCTTTATCAGACAGTAAGTCTGGTGTTTTCTCTGATTTTGAATTTTGTTGTACATTTCCCATCCTCTCTGTCCAGTCCTTCTGTAATCCTGATCACAGCTGTCAGTAGTAATACCCGGGCATCTATTGCTTTGGGTGTCAGGGACATGGAGAGTGTGGTTTATAGTTTGTAGTCCTGTGGACTAATGTTTCCTTGATGTTTTTTTTATTTATTTTTTTTTATTCTTCTTTGTTCCAGATGGGGAGAGACCAATAATGACATCCTAGATGTCCACAGAGAAGCTTTTAAGACCCCAGTCCCTACTCACCAATGTAGGATGTAGAACATTGTCTTTATGGACAGTGTTTTGCTAATTGACTGAGATGTCCCCGAAACTGTGGTCCTAAGTCCCCAAGCATAATGACTCATTTCCTCAAGGTGTTTGGTTATAACTGAGAAGTTTTCAGAACCAGTCATACATGAATTGATTTCTTAACGTCCTTTTCTTAACAGCTGCTTTTCCCTTTTAATTAGAAAGTCAAGTGTGGAGGAAGACACATCTAGTGTTGGTGGTAAATGTTTAATAATTGACATTGGGATGGGGCAATCAGATTTGAAGCATTTTCCAATTTCTATGCTGTAAGTGTTTCTTCCATGGTGTGTATCCAGGTTTCAACCAGCCTTCATGGAATAGAGTTGGGCGGAGGTGCTTACAGTTAGTTCAAGAGAGTCCATCAGAGCTGTACCCAACCCCATAATCCTTCATCTTCACCATGCCCTCTGACTTGTTTCCTAGCCTTTGCTCCTGATCTTATTGAGTGGCATCTCAAGTAGCTGAGAGAGAAACCTGACAGTCACCATGAGTTCCTCCCTCCCTCATCCCCATCATCTAATCACTAAATCCCATTGCTTTAGCCCTCAAGTGTCTTTTGAGTCTGTCCACTTGCTTCCATCCATACTACCAACACCCTGGTCTAATTCGTCCAGTTGACTACTTTTTTACTGTGCTATAGTAGTAGCTTCTGTTCATTTTCTCTGCTTCCCTCTATCCAACATTCTACTCTATAGACAGCCTCCTACTGAAACTTTAAAAACTGTCCTCTGCTTAAAAAATTTCTGTGGCTTCCCCTTGCTATGCAGATAAAGTTTCAATCCCTTAACCAACCCAAACCAAATCACCACCCAATTGATCCAACTCATAGAGACACTGTGCCCCATAGAGTTTCCAGTGACGGTGAACTTTTGGAAGTACAAGGGGGCTTCATGGAAAAATTCTGGTATCTTTCTATTCCATTTTCCCACAAACATTTTGAAGCCCCCCCCCCCCCTTATAGATTGCCAGGGCTTTCAAAGTACCTCTGGGTGAACTCAAACCTCCAACCATTCTGTTAATAACTAAGTGCTTAACTGTGTGCACCACCTAGTGACTCCTTAAGCCGTTGGCCTATCCTACCTGATACCTCCCCTTCATGCTGCCATGTGGCCCCTGCCTGCCATTCCAGTTTCATTTCTCACTGGTCACCCGATGTCCTTCCCACTTCAGTCACTCAGAACTGCTGTCAGTTCCTCAAACACGTCAAGCTCTTTCTTGATTAAGGGTCTTTGGGGGTACTATTTCTTTCATCTGTGTGTTCATCCTGTGTCCTCTTACCCCCACAACTCTCACCTGATTTTATTCTTCTGATGTTATTTTTAGTATTACATCCTGTCAGTTTCAGCATTACTTGGGGGAGGGGTGCGGCAGACTTCCTCCTGTCAGGAGTCCGTGGTCCCCTGTGTACTGCCTGCTCAGTGTCTTCTTCAGAGATGGAAGTGCTTGAGCTCCTGGAGATAGACTTGTGTGGTTTGTGGCCTTTTTCTCTGTACTGTCCACAGTATCTGTCGCGTTTTTTTTGTTGTTGTTGTTTTGTTTTTTATTATGGGTCCCAAATCCCTATTAAAGAATACACTTCAATACTGGGCCTAGGGGTTTAGGACTATAGTCTCTGGGGTTACCATGGTCAATTGACATAACATAGTCCATAAAGACAATGTTTCCATATCCTACTTTAATGAATAGCAACTGTGACCATAAAAGCTCATGAGCAGCTATCTAAGAGGCAAATATTGGTCTCTTCCTGTGTGGAGAAAAGAAGAGTGATGAAAATTGAAGACACTTGATCCAGTGGATGAATGACCACTGATGACCATATGAACATCAGTCTTTACAACCCTGAGACCAAAAGACAGTAGATGATGTCTATCTAGCTGCCACTACCAACTATTCATGGATAGATGGGGAGAAAATGTGGACTAAAACTCAAAATTATGAAAAAATCCAGGCTTACTTAGCAGAAAGAGATTAGAGGAACCCTAGACGATGGCTCTTGATCACGCTTCAGGTCTGGAACTAAACAGCCTTGTGGCTCAGGTTTCAGCTAAGTGGTAGATAGGGCTAGAGGGGGACAACAACACTTGTAAGATATTCTCACCATGGAATAATCAACCAGTCAAGATGTAAAGGGCAGCAGTTACCTAAGGACAAAATTCAGAAGAGTTGGGAAGGAGAGTAGAATGGAAGAAGAATCACAGGGAGGAAATGGGTTAACTGATGTTGCATGGAGGGGATTGTAATCATTGAGATGAAATGAAGTGTATGACTTGTTAAATATAAAACTGATCATCTAGTCTATAAACCCATCCTCAAATCCTAATAAAAAGGAAAAAAAAAAGAACAAACTCTATCTAATCAAGAATGTTCTATTTCTTGTATTTTCTGTCAGTAATTTATCAATTTAGTACAGAAGTAACTGATGAATACTTTTTACTAATAAATTTAGTATTTTTTTGTTTTGTTTTTTCTTATCAACAAATGCATGTTGTTTTATCCCCCTTTTTTTTTCTTTCCTAGAATTCATCACCTGTGATTCCATAAAATCATATGGCGTTATAAACAAGACTGTAACTCTCAGTCCACCACATGGGAGTAATTTTAAAGAGATCACATGGAAAAAGCAAAAAGATAAGGTCATTGACTGGTATGATTCTAAGATAAAGACGTTTGAACCATTTAAAAACAGGGCTTACTTAGACATTGTCTCAGGTAACCTCACGATCTCCAATTTAACATCATCAGATGAAGATGAGTATGAATTTGTTTCTTCAGATGGTAACACGACCGCTATGTTCTCTCTTACTGTGCTGGGTGAGTATTCTATCTGTTGGTTTGTTTAAAATGTCAAATGTCTAACTTTTAAGAGACCAGTAGAAATTAATAACATATGAGAAAGAATTCGATAGCACATGTGTCTCAGTTTTCCTGTCTTTATGAAGAAACTGCTTTTCAATTCCCTTGTTATCCCCTGGGTGAGAAGACCATCTGATTGGGATGGGGAGAGCAACAGTATCACTTGTCTTCCTAGAAATGTTCTGGAAAGGAATGCAGTGGCAGTAGTTAGCTCAGAATTCTTTGGGGCCCACTGATAGGTGGTGTTCTCTAAATTAGGCATCCATGAGTGATGGCTTCATCCAGAGATACCTTGGAAGAAAGGCTTGGTGATCTGCTTTCAAAAGGTCCCAGCCTTGAACACTGTCTGGAAATGGAGCAGTTCTGTTTGGCACACATGGGGTTGGCAGGAGTCAGACTCAAGTTTGACATCAACAACAGCAGCTCTATATTTGAGATTTCCCACATTCCCCTGTGCTGGATTTCCACACAAGTGCTGGATTATTTTTTTTCCTACACCATGTCAGGAGGGAACAGTCGCTGGAGAAGGATGTCATGCTGGGTAAGATGGAGAGTCAGAGAAAAAGAGGAAGACCCCCATTGAGATGGATTGGCCAGGTGGCATCATTGATGACGTCAAGTGTAGTGGAGGTAGTGAGGTTAGCCCAGGATTGGACATTGTTTTGTTCTGCTGTGCATGGGGTCGCTATGAGTCGGTTCTGACTCGATGGCACCTGACAACAACAACAACAACACACCATTTAAATTGGAATTTGAGAATCTTCTTGTTGATGCATGTGGGTTATTCATCCTCCCACGTCTGTCATGAATGTGCCCTCATCTCTCTTCTATATTGGACTCACAGGTTCACTTTTTGAATCTCAGCAGTGGATCTAGGGAGATCCACCTAGCACCCAAGTGTGTAAGATGGATTTCAGGGAGTAGAGAAGAGACTATTTGAGGTAGTCTCAGTGGACCTGGATGTAATGACTGACTGAGTGATGAGAGAAGGAGAACAGCCGTTACTCACCAGTTTACTTATATGGTCCAGGAGAGATGTTGGGAGGTATGGAGAGTTTCTACCATTGTGGTTCCAGAGCTCCGCAAAGGAAGTGATATGCAGTCGGCATTCAATACATCTTTGTAACATCAGTGAAAGCAGTCAAGTTGGATAATTGAGAGGTCAGTGGGGCAATTGACAGAAATGAGGGAGGGGAGCATAGACTGGGTGGCCAGGGTGACCAGAATATGATGAATTCCATTTAGACTTCTAAAGTTTGTTAAGACATTCAGGCATCCTGTTGAAAGAACTGGACTTCTGGTGTGACGCTGCAGGTTAACGCACTGGACTGCAAAGTCGGTTTGAAGCACAGGGTTGGCGGTTCAAGCTCACCAGTCGCTCCTTGGAAACCTTATATATACAGGGTTGCTCTGGGTCAGAACCGACTCGACAGCACTTAACAACAACTACAACAATTGAAATAACCAATAGGTACTTTTGAAGAAGCAGGACATTGAAAATCCAGAAGTTGGTTATCTGTGAATTTATAGGACAAGCGAAAAAAAGATTGATTTAGATAACTATAACATGCATTTTGTTACTGTTGTTGTTAAGTGCTTTAAGTGCAGCTGAGTCACCTCTGATTCATAGCAACCCTGCATAGGGTTTCCAGGGAGTGGCTGGTGGGTTTGAACCACTAACTTTGCGGTAAGTAGTCCAGTACTGATCCTACAGCACCACAGCCGGACTCAGAATGCATTTTAGCAGCCCTTTTATTGAATTTGAAAACCTGAGTTCAAAACAATTTAAAAAGATTTTCATGCCTTGAAAAAGATTTGATGCAATGTTTATGAATAATGTGATTTTTAAAATTCTATGTTAATTCAGTAAAGGTGTTTGGTTTGGGCAATCCAATCAGCTGGGTAGCACTTGAGAAGCTTAGTGTTGCCCTGCAGAGGACTAAAGAATAGGAAAGGTGGGTTTTGATCAGAAGTAGTGATCGGATTGAATGTGGGACTTAAGTTCTGATTTGGGAATCTGGATGTTATCTTGGGGCCATGGGAAGTCACTGCATGTGATACCAGAGCAGGGAAGAGGCTTGATGAATAGATTTTTGGAAGCTTAAGCTGATGTTGAGTATTTATGATGGACTGAAGCGAGGAGACACCAGCTTGGAGGTTACTTTGCTCATCCAGCTAAACAGAAGTGTGGGTAGGAACTATTCAGAAAGAAAAGAGTCAAAAGACACTTTCAAGAAAAAGTCAGCAAATTTTAGGTTTGAGTATCAGAAGACATCAAAATGAGAAAAGAGTCAAAGATGACGAAAAGTTTTACACCTGGGCCTCAAGATGATGGGTCATGTTTTGTGTTTATTTTTAGAAATGAGGAAGTCATTCTTCCGTGTGTGTGCCCAGTCATTGAACACGACACCAACACACATGGAGGGTTGCAGTGAGTTGGAAAGACTCCCCAGTGAATGATTTTAAAGGGAGACTTTCAGCAAGGCTATTTTGGCCAGGGGGATTTCCTGGCCCCTTTTTATATGTAGGCCATCCACTTCCTCCTGTGTATAAATTGAGATTGGGATTCCTTTCCCCAACCACTATACTGCCCGTTAAGATATTTACTCTTAAGGTTCTCTCCCATCCCATACAAGCCATTGCTCTGTCCTTACCAGTGGTCTGTGGTCTCCTAGTGATGACAACAGAAATGTACATGTGTTTCTGTACATCATCATCAGATATGTGGAAGAAATTCTCATTTCTTACAGAACAGTAAGCTGAATTCATTCATTATAAATGGACTAATTGACTACTAATACGTTTTCTTAGGGGTGAAGTAGGCACATTTCTTACCAGTTTCCTGCTGCTTATGGTACAGAGAAAACATGTAGCTGTGGTAAGTCTTTTAGGAAGTGAGAGAACGTGAACAATTTGTAGACAGAAAAAAATCCAGTTTGGGGAAACCCTGAACCAAATGTTACAAAACGATTCACATATTTTTAGGTGAGCATCACTGAGCAAGAGAGGCACTTCTAGGTCAGACACCTGGCAACAGTGGTGCAATGAGACCTCTAGAAGAAACCTCTGTGTGGTTTCAGGGGTTCTAGCAACACCGACTCGACGGCACTTAACAACAACAACAAGTAACACTGATAATAGTACTAACATTACCATAGATTTCTCCCAGAATGATTTTCATATTTCATTTGACCTTTACAATCATTTATAAAGCACCATATTCTCTTTGCTAGGTGAAAATGACATAGAGATTTTAGAGTAGGTTTCTCCATCTATAGAATAAGGAATCTGAGCTGGATAATTTCTGAAAAGCCTTCTCTCTTCTAAAAGATTTGTGGTTCCAGGTCACACAGTAAGTAGTGTCGGAGCCAGGACTCCAGACCTGAAGTTGGTGGCCCTTATGGAGATCGTGCATGGCCAGTAGCCTGGTGCTGTGTTATGGCTCCCATTTGTTATGTTAAATGCCTGCTCTGTGCCAGGCCTGCAGACTAACGTACTGATTCCTGTGTAATTATCACATGTATTAGCTCATTTAATCCTCTTTGTTCCCTCATTTTAGAGATGAGGAAACATAGGCGCAGGTTAAGCTTGCCCAAGGTCACATGGTTATTTATTAGTAGTGGAATTGGTATCTGAACCCAGGCAGTGAGGATCCTAAGTCTCAGCTCTGAACTATTGCACTGTTCCTTTTTGGAAATGAGCTGATTGAAGGATTTATATTTTATAGGCTAGAGAATAATTTGGAGACCATAGCATAGTGGTTATGAATCGGGTTGTGAACCTTAAGGTCAGCGGTTCGAAACTACCAGCCGCTCCGCGGGAGAAAGATCAGGCTTTCTACTCCCGTAAAGATTTACACCCTCGGAAACCCTGTACAGGGTCGCTATGGGTCGAAACTAACTCGACGGCACTTAACAACAACAACAACCCCGCTATCTAGCCATCCTTCCATCTGTTCAACAACACTTACAAGGAATGACCTTTGTGCCTTGCATTACATGATACCAAGTGTTGGGGATTGAGAGGGGACTAATCCCTAGTCTTTACCTTCAAATGCTCAGTCGGAGGGGGCTCCTGGGGCAGCTCTGCTCCATTTGGAGTGTGTTTCATGAAGGCAGATGTTGGCTGAACTGGATCAATCAGCACATGAATGAGCACGTGAGATACTACTAAAGCAGAATGCCTTTGGATGGCACCCAGAGTCTGGATTTTTAACAAGCATCCGTTGTTGTTAAGTTCTGTTGAGGCATTTCTGACTCATAGTGACTATGTATAGGGTTTCCAAGGAGCAGCTGGTGGGTTTGAACCACTAACCTTTAGATAAGGAGTCCAATGTTTATCCTTCAGGACTCCAACAAGCATCCTAGGTGATTCTTATTTATACATACTAATATTTGAGGCATGATATGGAACATCTTGAAGGAAGTAGAAAGTCGGTTTTCTGCCCTTAAGAAATGCCCAGTTTCAGAGGCTGGCATAAATACTGTGGTACATAAAAGAGTCATTTCTGAACTACTCTGGGGCCCGGTAAGGTTCCTTGGAACCTGGGCTACCCATGAGGGTTTGGTGGGCAAACACAACCAGAGGAGGATACGGAGGTAGAACTTTATGCTCTCGAATTTGGAATCAACTGGACCAACTCCAGTTTTATCTGTTTGTGATACTGGTCTACTGCTTAGGATTTAATTTGGAGAAAGGTTTCCACTGCTTAAGAAAGGATTGAAAGTTCTTTTAGCTAAAGAAAAACTTTAAGGTTGCTTCAGGTTCAATTTGGTTTTGATGAGAAGTTATATGCGCTAGATTATACCCAAAAACTGAGGAAATTCCAAGTACAAAGGGAAGTGAGTGTGTGACTTGGGTCTCTAGCAAGACAGCCTGGGTGTCTCCTAGAACCAAGAGGAAGAATTCAGGAGGAAGAGAAGATGGGGGTGGAGAAGAAGAGTTTCACACTTCTTCATTTTAGATTGCAGGCAGTCCCCGGTTTATAGATGAGATCTATTCCTTAAGTCTGTCTTTAAATTGAATTTGTAGGTAAATCAAATGTACAAAACAGGTACACGTGGTTCTTACTTAGTATTAGTCAAATGTTTATTGTAATATATATTTTACCTTTCTGCTCTTATAAAACACTTAAGAAACACTTCCAACTACATGAAAAGATCTTAAGCAAAATAATACAGTATCTAATAGTACAGTAATATTAAAAGTGACTACATATGGTACTGTACTGAAGAGAGAGTGTGTGTATGTGAGTAGGTATATGATAATGTGAAAAAAAAAGATAACAAACAGTTTTTAAGACCTGTTTGTTGTTGTTGTTATTAAGTGCCGCAATGTTGGTTCCAACTTAGCGACCCTATACAGGGTTTCCAAGGAGAAGTTGGTGGGTTTGAATTGACAGCCTTGTAGTTAGCAGACTAGTGCTTATCCTGTAGCATCATACGCGGATCCCTGAAACAATTTATGTAGAAGAGAAAAAAAGATTAAAGGTTAACATTTACCCTCATAGCTACCCAAGAGGGAAAGAGACTCAGACTCAAAAAACAGCCCAAGGCCAATTCCTATGAGGAAGAAGTCAGACTTGCCTCTACCCTTCAATCTTCTTTATCTGATTCTGATGCCAACCACTCCTCCCACAGTACTCTTATGACTTCTCTGCTGGCTTCAATCATCCGTTGCAGTGGCCACACAGAACTCACAGACAATACTCACAATTATGGGTTTAGGAGGGAAGTGAACCACGTACAATTCAGGAACAGAAATAACTCAGGATACAGCACTTTCTCTGGTCATGAACGCTTCTTCCCAGCTGTACTGCAGGCACGCCTTTCTGTTGTTCTCAGCCTCTCAGTCATGCGGAGCAGCCTCCTGGCCTCTGCCCTGCTCAGCAAGTGTTACAGACCTCCTTTAGCATTGCTTGTAAATGCCCAAATGGCACATTTTGCCCAGAGGCACTCAGCTTTACTTGGTACATGGTCCAGGAAGCCCACTGCTCTGCTGCTCTGTCTCTCCTTGCCACTGGCATTTTTTCTGGCCAGGGATCTTGCACTCTGCTCTTGGTTCTTCTTTCTTGATGGTCCTGGGATCATATGTTTCTGCCTCTGAGATGACTCCTTCTAAACTTTACAAAATGGCAAAGCCGACCAATCCCTGAGTGAGAGTTCATCCACCTTATTTGCTTAGTCTCACCCAGTTATTTGTTGAGAGTTAGGAAAAAAGGCAAGAAAGCATTTTTCTTCCTTGATATGAACCATTGAAGCTATGAGTGTTTTTGTGAGTGTCTAAGTGCATTGATTATTACAAACCATTGTATTTAACTAAAATTTTTAATACAGTAGTGTGGCACTGTAGGATAAGCACTGGGCTGCTAACCAGAAGGCCAGCAGTTCAAACCCACCAGATGCTCCTCAAAAACCCTGTAAAGGGTTGATATGAGTTGGAATTGACTCCACGACACTTAAACAGCAATGACAATATGGCAATCTGTTCTTAAGTACGAGTTGTCTGTAAGTTCAATGTTCTTAACCTGGGGGACTTACAATGTTAGTGACGTTGGAACTTAAACATTCCTTTGTCTTTGAAAATGTAATTTAAAATGACAGCATAGTATTTCATCATCTGAATAAACTTTAATTCCATTTTTAATAGCCATCCGTAACATGTTGAAAGTTTAGTTATGCAAATTCTACCATGAAAACTCCGTTTTAGAAAACATTATTTTTGTTGCTGTTACTGTTGAAAATATACTCAGCAAATCATACAGCATTTCTACATGCGCAATCCAGTGACATTGATTAGATTCTTCAAATTGTGTGGCCATTGTCATCCTCCTCTTCTGAATTGTTCCTCCAGCGTAACTCACTGTCCCCTAATTCCTCTCTAGTCTTTCAAGTTTCTGTTGTTTATTTGACCCCCATATAGATTGTTCTTTAAAAGAGCACAATGCTCAAGTCTTAACTAATTAAACTGTTGTTTGGTTTAAAGAAGACTTCAGGGAATATTGTTGATGTAAGGTTTCAAGTTTACCTCAGGGCAAATAGTTTTAAGGGTTCCTCTAGCCTATATGGTACCAGAAAGCTGTCTTTGATGCCCATTTGAAATTCTGATCCAATTGTGTCCCCCTTTGATCAGTATTCTTCTATAGGATCTGAACAAAATGTGCAGTAAGGTAGCTGGACACCTTCCAGTTTTCCTGATCTCGTACCAAAGGAGGGAGTTGTTCACAGAGACAGTTAACCATGCATGCCATAATCCCCTCCTAGTCCTGACTCTCCTTCTGCTACTCTAGGTGAATTGAGACCAATTATTATACCTTGGATGGCTGCTTGCAAGCTTATAAGACTCTAGGCACTACCAACCAGGAGGTAGATCAGGAGCAATTGAAATTATATTAGTCCCATTAACTGGGGTGTCCCATGAAACTATGACCCTAAATCTCCTAAGAAACCAAATCCCATGAGGCATTTGGTTGTGTATATGCAGCTCCTTTTTTTTTTTTTTTTTTTTTTGGTAAGAACATGAGTCACACAACATTTACTCTTCCAGTTCAACTCCTCATAGGTGTACAACTGATGGCTATCAATTACATTAATCAGCTGTGCAACCATTGCCCCTAATCAATGCAAATGCCCCATCACTGTAAACAAACAATCAGCACTCCGTAAGCGGTGCCCCCCCTCCCCTTTCCTACAGCCCCTGGTTACCACTGATGATCATTGATCTCTGTACAGATATATGTTGTTACTGCCTTTTTATATGTGAAGTCGTAAACTATTTATCATTTTGTGATTGATTTGTTTCATTCAGTATAACATATGACCACTTTTTAATTTTGCCTATATTTTTGCATGTTTCTCAAATGTCTTATAGTAGTTGCTGGGGGAAAGTTGAAATTCAAGAAGGTATACAAGATGAAGTAACAAACAAATGACTTAAGAGAACAATTTAACTTTGAGATTTTAGAGTGTAGCAATGGTGCAATGTGTCTGTCTCCCTTCTGTGTTGTATGAGTATCTTAACCCATCTTTGTGAGACCAAGTAGCCTTAGTCAATAGGAGCCACTTCCTAGAGGAAGACTGGGAATGATACCACTAGACTGGCAGGTTTGTGGCATGTGTCATACTTCACTTTGCCTATTAGCAGGTCTAGCCCAAATGGGCAGTGTCCAACCAAATTGTATATTGCTCCACAGTACTGTTTACAAAAACGTTTGAATCAGATGTGTTTTGGAATTAATTATTTTCTAGACTTTAGAAAGGTATGCAAACTATTTTCTGTGTATGTATTCTAAAGCACCCCACTTACAGGAAGCACTCTATAGTCAAACACATGAATATTTCTGTGATGAAACATGATAATGAACATTTAAAATTAGGTGAAAAACAAAAATGCAAATCCTTATGTCAGTGCAGAGCAAGATTTACAACCAAACCAACTTCCAAAAAATCTTTTGGCTTAAGAGCTTTTGAGATTTCAGAATCAAGGATAAAGGAATTGGGGTCTGTTGTTTATTTTGCTGAATGTAAGCATGTAAGTCTAACCTAGAAGAAGAGTGAATTATCTCCCATTCGTGCTTTTGTGGAGGTGGTTGTCTTGTCTTCTCAAGCTCAAAATGATATTGGGAGTACTTCATAAATTTACAGATGATGAGTAGAATATTGCTGGGTTTTTTCCTGTACTAAATAGTACTTTTTTTTTTCCAGATCCTCTTCCATCCCCAACTCTAAATTGTTCATCGAATGATGAAAACATTATAGTTGAATGTATGCTCCCAGATTTCAGCAGGCATGTTGACCTTTTAGTCTACTCATGGACTTGCTCTTCAGAAAAATGTAAACGTGAGGCGAAATTGAAAATAATTTTCGAGAAAGAGGATGATCTTTCACAGGAAGTATGGTGTATTGTGAAAAATCCTGTGTCCGCAATGAACTCATCCATTATTTTGAGAACCTGTATGCCAGCGGGTAAGTAAATAACTAATTTCTCATGGCAGAGATACTAGATACAAGTGTGGTCCATGGATCAGTGGTAGTTTGTGGGTTTCAAACCACAGATGTGGCTAACTTACTTTTCACAAATGTGACTGAAATGTAAGGTGAGTTACAGCTTTTACCAGCTCCATAATATATATATGTAAACCCTGGTGTGGCTAGCATGTAGGATAAGCAATGGACAGCTCACTGCAAGGTCAGCAGGGCAAACCCACTGACTCTATGGCACACAACTATATAAATGTTTAACGATGTATATATATATATATTCACATAGTTGTTAAGAGCCATTGAGTCAGTTCTGACTCATTGTAACCTTGTACAGCATTTCTGAGGAGCAGCCAGTGGGTTTATATATATATATGGAGTCCTTGTGTGGCACTGTAGGATAAGCAGTGGATCACAAATTCAGTTTGAACCACAAGGTCAGCAGTTCAAATTCACCACCTGCTCCTCAGAAACCCTATACAGGGTCACTGTGAGTCAGAACTGACTCAACGGTATACAACAACAACTATATATATATATTGCGAAACCCAAACATAGGGAGATAAAGTTACTTGTCAAAGATCAACAACTGTTGTTGTGATTGTTGTGTGCCATTTCTATTCATAGTGGCCCTCTACAGGGTTTCTAAGAGAGGCTGGTGGGTTTGAACCACCGACCTTGTGGTTGGCAGCCTAGCGCTTATCCTACAGTGCCACACCAAGGCTAATAAGTGCCAAAGCCCAGCCATGTGACCCAGAGCCTAGCCTCTTAATTGTTTGCAATGCTTTTCTATAAATTAATGCTTAATTATCATTATGTTCTTAAAGATTGCACATGTGCTATAATAACATTTAGGGTGCTTCTCTAGGCTAATAGTCCAATGATAATGTGACATTATCTGTTTATGTTAAGTATTATTTATATTTGTAATTTGAAATTTTTTTATCTGCTTGATGTTATACTCCCAGTTTATAATCAAAAGAATGGTCCAGGTCTTGAAAGCAGTTTATTGAAATGTAAAAGAAGCTATGACAGTAGTAATAATATAATTCAGAATAATATCATAGTTGTAAATAGTGACCTTGACTCCAAGGCAAATATAAAATATTTGATCTGGAACAGGGTGTGTCTATGAATGAAAGTTTTCTGAACAAGAAGCTGAAACAGAAGAAAGGGAATTAGTAAATATAATAATTTTTAAAGCTAAGAGTTGTTTTGTTTTGTTTTTACTGGAAAGAATTATAATTTATTTTCTCACAGTTAAGGAGGCTAGAAACCTAAATTCAGAATGGGACTCTCGTGGGAAAAGCCTGAATTATTTTTGACCATTAAGCCATTTTCCTAAATTCCCAGTGCATTGTTCTTTTTGCTACTTTTCAAAGAATGGCCTAAAGTCATTAAAGCTACTTGATCATTTTCAACCATAGCAGAATAAAGCAAACATGTTTTTTCCCCCCAAAAAACAAGTACAGAATGAACTCCAATATACTGCTAATGGAGTTGGTCCTTAAAGACAAAGACCAAATCCACAAAGGTGTCACTCACAGTGGTGCCCTTTGCACCAGTCACATACTTGCCAAAAAGGCCTTAAAACTAACTGTAAAGTTAATAATGATGGTAGTTACACCTGAAGATAAAGCCGAATATTGGCAAAAATTCCTTTATCAAACACCACCTATTGGATGTTGCATAATACCCAAGGTTTCATAATACCAAATTATAATACCTAAGGACATGCAATTGGATGTGATCGTAGATCGTTACTTTATAGTGAGAAAAACAAAAACAAAACCTATGCACATCATCATGGTTGGTGCACATGTCTGACAAAGAGGAGATTTAGATGACCACATGCAGAAAGGACAAGCAAGTTGGAATCTTGAAAAGCTTCAAGTGCTCCAAGAAGTGAAATACTTCTATGAAATAACTTTGAATAGTATTTTCCCCATTATGGTACTAGTAAAGGACTATTGTATATTTTAAGGGTATTTTCAAAGGTTTTGACCTTGAACAGTGTTTATTTTCCCATTGTTAAAGATGCCCTTCTCTGTAGCTACTTTCGTAATAGATTGTCACAATACCATTCCTATTATTGAGATGAAATCATTGTTATTAATTTGAAAACAAACCCTCTTGTTAAATAATTATGATTTATTTTATGTTAAAATGTCTCGAAATGGATAGCTTCAAGTGTTTGAGAAACATTGCCAGGTGTCATTTAAAACCTGGAGTTGTGTTGGCATGTGAAACATATATCCACTGACCAAATGTTGGAGAACGTTTTCCTCTGCTGAAAACCAGAACTTAATGATCTCAGATTTTCAACAAGAAAATCCTAGGGCCATCTTATTCTCCATGATGAATTTTGAATACTTTCGTGTGGAGCCTCACGATTCATAAAGAAAAAACAAAAACAACCTATTGCTATCCTATGGATTCTGACTCCTAACAACTCAATAGGACAGAATAGAACCGCACTACAGGATTTCCAAGGCTGTAAGGCTTTATGGAAGCCAACTCCACATCTTTCTCACACAAAGTGACTGGTGGGTTCAAACCAGCAAACTGGGTTCCCAACCAAGCACTTAACCACTTTGTCATCAGAGTTCCTTTCAGGCATCATGGTGGATGTAAATCCATGAAGGTACAACAGTTAAGTCTTACTTCTTCAGGTTTTGATTTTTTCACACAGACTTTTTAAATGCTTTATCAATGAAGTATAGGAATGGTAACACATACTGACTCACCTGCTATCCTTTAGCAAAACCTTTCCAAATAAATGGCTTACAGGCTCCTCACTACCATTTGAGATTGAGCAGACAGATGCTGTTATTTGCCTTTTAGGAGTAGGGAGACAGGTTTAGCCAAGTGGGATGATTTCCTAAAGTAAAGGAGATAGAATTTTCCAGTCTCTTGCATTTTTTTTTCATAACTGTTTTGACTTTGTAATTCTCTAAATAAATTAAGGGGGGAAATGTTATTGACATTGTAGGTGTCAGGTGGTACAAACCATACTGTGCTGACACATGAAGAAAACGGTCAGATTTGTTTTCTGCCACCTGAACTGCTGCTGGTACCAGCTCATAGTGACCCTGTAGAGGGTTTCTGAGGCTTAAATCTTTCCAGGGCAGAAAGCCTCATCTTTGTATTCAAACTACTGACCTTTTGTCTAATGGGGCCTTTTTGTAACAAATGACCGTCAGTAGGCAGACAATCACCACATCCCAGAAATGAAAGTGAGTCAGTATCTTGTTAAAAACTTAAGTTAAAAATGTTTAAGCTAAAGTGGAGGTTTAGCCACGATTGAAACTGAACACAGAGCTCTTGCCCAGCTCAGATTTACCAAGGAAGGTAAAGAATGTTTACTAAAGGCCTGTGCCTTGCCAAACTCCTAAATGCTTTCCATCTGCACATCACATGCAGTCCACACAACCCTAAGAGCTGGGTGTTATTTTCCTCATTTTATAAATGAAAAGTCTGAGGCAGAGGAAGGTTATTCACTTACCCAAGGGCACACATGTTTTAGGCAGCAAAGCCAGGAGTTGGCATTCACCTCTATCTTGGTACAAAGCCTCCCTGGCGTATCAGTGGAGCGAGCCCGGTGATACAGTGACTCAGCTCCCTGCTGCTGACTGAAAGGTTCCTGGTTTGAACTCAACAGCGACTCTTCAGGAGAAAGATGTTGCAGTCTGAGTCTATAAAGATGACAGCCTTGGAAACCCCATGGGCCAGTTCTCCTCTGCCCTGTAGGGTCTCTAGGAGCTGGACTCAAATCTACAGCAGCAGGTATCAATGAAGTACAAGTGAGATACTAAGTGATGTACAATCAGGACCCCAAACTTGGAATTTACTTCAGTCAGTGGACAAACATAGTTGACACAGGAGAAGGATGTGGGTGTTCGGAGGCGGGAGGACAGCAGTGAGTGATTGATTCTTCTTTGTATTTGTGGCGCTCTATAATTTGTCCCTCTGTTTCTGCCTGGAGAGTAGAGAGTAGGAGAATTTATGCCGCTATTACAGATGCTTAGATAGGCTGGTTGTGGCAGCATCTGAATAGAGACAAGCATACAAAGACCCCAGTGCTATCAACTCACTCCCAACCCATAGAGACCCTATAGGACAGGGTAGAATTGTCCCATAGGATTTCCAAGGCATAGTGGTTACAAATTGTGCTGCTAACCTCAAGGTCAGCAGTTTGAAACTACCAGCTGTTCCACGGGAGAAAGATGAGACTTTCTGCTCCCGTAAAGATTTGCAGCCTCAGAAACCCTGTGCAGGGTCGCTATGAGTCAGAACCGACTCCACGGTACTTAATAACAACAATCTTCACAGAAGCAGACTGCCACATCTTCCTGCCATGGAGTGGCAGTGGGTTTGAACCACTGATCTCTCAGTTCAGAGCTGAGAACTTAACTTGCACCAGGAAGGCTTCTTTGAATATGATCAGGCCTACACAGTTTGGAAAAGGAGCTCTGGTAGAATCGGGCTGCGAATCGCAAGGTCAGCAGTTCAAAACTACCAGCTGCTCCATGGGAGAAAGATGACGTGTTCTGCTCCCGTAAAGATTTACAGCCTTGGAAGCCCTGTACAGGGTTGCTATGAGTCGGAACCGACTCCATGGCACACAGCCACCACCACATAGTTGGGAAAAGGAGATGGCAAAGGCAGGAGAAACCACCAGAGAGAGAACATGGGATTTGGAACAAGGAGACACGTGTCCCAGACCTAATTTCACAGCTTATTAGCTTCAGCTTCCTTACTCACCTATGGGGAGAGTTATGCCTACTCTACAGGGACTGCAGAATGAAGTGCAATAATGGATAGGAAAGGGTGCTGATGATGGTAGGTCACTGAAAAATAGTTACTCATTATACAGGAAGCATAGGAGGAACGTTTCGAGAAGGGATACTCAGTATAGCATCATGGACAACAAAAGTGTTCAAGGAGAACATCGAAGAGCTCTGGGGATTGGGTGCTTAGGAGACCACTGGGT